TCCCCAACATTAGAATTAAAGGGGTTACAAATAAGTTTTTGGTCAACTTTATATTCAGTTTGGTTATTTGGGGTGCTGATTCAGAAAATTGCATTGGATGCACCACTTTAGCTCTAGTTTCTGATACAGAACATATGTCACCCAGTAGTTGCCATCTGCTCACCCACAGAAAACCATATTTAATAATCTAGAGCTGATGTGGTCTATCCAATGCAATTTTCTGAATCAGCACTCCCAAATAACCCCAGGAACAGGCCTAAAAATGAAGACAGCAAGGTGCCTCTTTTTCTAGGCACCACATGGAATGGCTCCACTCAGGGGGAGAGAGGAGAAGCAGCAGTCAGGAGGCTTATTGTCACGCCTTTCGTGAGTAGTCAGCCCCTCTCCTCCCAACATCCCCATTGCCTTGGCAAGATGGATAGCTTTTGCTAGACTAATCGCTTTTGTTGTGACAGTGTAGTAACGGTGACGTCGTGGACCATATTTTAGTTCTTGGGGACCACTGGTGATCTAAGGCCTTTCCCATTCAGATTTCTTTTTTGTCGCGTCAGGAGCAACTTGAGAAACTGCAACTCTCTTCTGGTGTGAGAGAATTGGCCGTCTGCAAGGACGTTGCCCAGGGGACGCCCGGATGTTTTGATGTTTCTACCATCCTTATGGGAGGCTTCTCTCATGTCCCTGCATGAGGAGCTGGAGCTGATAGAGGGAGCTCATCCGCCAGCACAGGGGTTTAACCCACTGTGCCACTGGGGGCTCCTCCCATTCAGATGGCGACCCACAAAGTAAAGATGCCCCTTTCTGCTCCCTTTTCTGCCATAGCCAAGCCACCTCTCTTTGTGAGAGGTGTCTTCTGTGGTGTCTACTGTGTCTCCCACATGATTGTTGTAGGGACGGCACAAAATGATGGACCAGAAACATGTTCTGGATTCTGTTGTCTTCAAGTTTGTCAACAGGACTTGTAAGTTCACCCTAACAACTCAAATATAGTTTCATATCTTATACAAACACACAGAAGAGAAATTATCACTATAAAACTAAAGGGGAAGAGTAAATCCTAAAATACGTGCTTCAAACAGTAGGCACTGTGTGAATTAAACTTTTTGTTCAGTTAATAAATTGCCCTCATTAATAACAATTTATTGAAATCTCGTTGAATTGCATCCTCTTGTCAGCATGAACAGGCAATCAGTGGAGAAACCACCCACTGAGCTTCAATTACTGTAATAATGGTAGCTATTAAAGTACCTCTAAAAGAAAGAAAATGAGAAAAAAACTTCCATAAATTGTGATTTGTATTTTCAAAGCTGGCTTTGAGGATGCCACCCTTCTGGGATTATTTTCTCATTTATTCCTAGGACTTTTGTTATTATGAGTTATTGTATGAGGACAGTAAGATCAGGAAATTAGGCACACACGTATCCCCACAAATATGCACCAAGAATATCTACAACTTTTACATACTCATATGCAGTAAGATCTATGCAAGACATAAATTCTGCTCTGTACACTTGAACTTGCTAATCAAGTTGCTTAGCAGCTCGTTCTTGGCAACATAAATTCACATTTTATCTCTAGGCATAATAAGATAGATTGAGCAAAAGCCTTCTATAAATTTACTAAGGGAAAGATTTTATTCAGTGAGCTTCATCAGGTCAATATACCCATTAATTGCATTTTATTGTTGGGTAGCAGACTGCACACACTGTTAAATTCAAGATGATGCGTTTTTTAATGATGTCTGTTACAAGTTAAATGCCACAGTCCTAAAACCACTTGTCTACAAATGGCCCATTTAAAATCTGAATCATGTATACCAGCTGAATGAACTACTTCCATTCACAAATAAAATATATGAGCAATCCAAATTTTGAGATGCAGTTTACAGCTGGAGCTGTTCTCTTTAGCCGTGAGATATTAATGATGGCCTTTGACAAAGTAATTTTTCATGGGACATCCCCACCAAACTTGATGGAAACATCATTCACTGACCAGAATGGGCTCGTGTACTAGGTTAGTGCTACATTCAGTAGATATTTTATGTTTATTTGAATAACTGGATCTCATATCATACTTGACAATGTTCAGCTCTCTTCCTGCAAAGCAAGTGAGTGGATGCTACCGCAGAAAACAAATGCAATGTGCTCATTGTGTTTTCATGGTAATTTCTTGCAGTCAAAAATATCACAGACTCTTGCAGAATATTAATATAGGTCAATAGGCTATGTCAGCTAAATAGTTAACTTAAATCTCCACTCCCTATTTCCCTTATCAGGTACCATCTGCATGTGGCAGTAAATATCCAATGAGAACACCATGAAATTGGAACATAAGTCCAGATAGCTCTGTGGACACTTACTTAGGCAATCCCTCGTAGTCCAAGGATGATGGCCCTCCAAGTGTAGTGTCTTGGTGGTGGGTCCGCAGGTCTCTGTGGAGCCCTATTCTTGATCTGCATCTTCTCCTGCAGTGAGGACATCGGTTTCCAGGTGGAAGGCAGTCCCAGTCAGGGTTGGCTTGATACCCCTTCTTTTTGGCTCGTTTCACCCTCCATTCATGCCTCTTCAAATACCGCAGCTCTGCTGGCCACAGCTGACTTCCAGTTAGAGTGCTCAAGGGCCAAGGCTTCCCAGTTCTCAGTGTCTATACCGCAGTTTTTAAGGTTGGCTTTAAGCCCATCTTTAAATCTCTTTTCCTATACACCAACACAGTTTTTGAGTTTGGTGTATAGTTACTGTTTTGGGAGATGGGGATCAGGCATTTGGACAACATGGCTAGTCCAATGGCATAAGGGAATTGTTTCGATGCTGGCGGTCTTTGCTTCTTTCAGCATGCTGACATTTGTTTGCCTGTCTTCCCAATAGATTTGCAACTGTAGACAGTATGTCTCTCATATCCACAAAACTGGTACTCTCAATCTCTTTTATTCACATCCAACAAATAAGTCCTTTCTATTTTCTATGACCTTTAGTAAGATTGTGTGATATTCCTGTGGTGGAAGTTCTTCATTTCAATGGATTTGCTACTATCCAGAGTTTTGTGTGTCCATGTGAACTCTGGCAATTAATCCTCTACGGATACAGGGATTGTACTGTAGGGACTGCATAATATGGACTTTTTGTTAGACTATTCCAGATTAGTTTGAGACATGCTCATTAGTGTGACAGAAATTGAATATAGTTTAGGACTGCCAAAAGGAGTTAGAATGCTATTTAAATAACTTCAGATATCTTAACAATTCTATATATTATATCTGCAGTTCTGGTGACCCCTCAACAGAATAGCCTTACTATTGAAATATTGGTCTTTTTATGTGATAATAAACTTTTAATATGCTGTGATCTTTCTGCTTCATTTAGTTCTTTCTGCTCTTTAATTAACTTGGGTAACCTGCTGCTATGTGCACTGGCATGACTGATAAGAGACACCACTACCTTTGCTCTAATATCTCATTTCAGATCAAAGTATTGATTTTGATAGCGATTTTTTTCTGGAAAGAAACTATATATTAAATAAACTGGGAGCTTGGATACAGAATGATTTCCAATTAACATTTATTATTTGGGTGAGCCTCTGTTATAAATAAAGATTATCATCTAGGCAATTTTAAATTAATACCCAAGATGTAAGCTTTCCAAATCAAAATGCAGATATTCTATGTATAGCTTACTGATGGTTTTGCTCACATTTCAGTCGACTTCATACTCTAGTTCACTCAGTCTGAAAGCAAAAGGGGAGTGATTGTTAATTGGCACTGGATTATCACATTTCATAATATATTCCCTCTTGCTGTCATTAATTTTGAAATGTTTACTTGAAGACTGAAACTTCCCAAATATTTCCTGTACAACTCATACGAGTCCTATCATTCAAAAGAATATTAACAAAACAATACAAATTTGTGTCTGTAGTTATCCCTATAGGGCAGTGGTTCCCAAACTTTTTTTTGGCCAGGGACCACTCTCCAACATTAATACCAAAAGAGTTACGAATCAGTTTTTGGTCAACTTTAGATTTGGTTTGGTTATTTTGGATGCTGATTCAGAAATATGCATTTCATAGGCCACATCAGCTCTAATTTCTGATACAGAACATATGCCATCCAGTAGTTGTCATCTGATTGCCCACAGAACATCATATTTAATAATCTAGAGCTGTGGTAGTAGTAATCTTTCATGAGTAGTCAGCCTCTCCCCTCCCGACATCCCTGTTACCTTGGCACTATAAGAGGGTTTCATGAAACCAGTCACTCTTGTTGCCTTATGGTTTAGAGGCAGCAGTGTAGTAATGATGAGGCCGCAGACCATATTTTCGTTCTTGTGGATCACCGGTGGTCCACAGATCACAGGCTGGGAACCACTGCTATAAGGTCAGTGTCATGCACCTCATGAACCTCTAGGCACAGATTTTAGAAATAAATTGCAAGCAAGTGACTGGGAGGGGAAAGGGGGAGAGCCGGGGGAACCACAACAAAAAAGATAAAACTTTCCACTGCCATTTCACTCCCTGAAGTGGCACAACCCAAACACACAATGGCCCACTCCCAATTTGGGTCTTTCCTATTGAGCCATGAAGAGTTCCCCCCTTCCACCCATTTCCACTTTTAGTTTTACTAAATTAGACAGGAAAAAAAGTTGCGGTGAACTCAAGAGTTTGCATGTCATTTTGAGGTGTTCGAAGTTGGTTTCGACAGTGGGCTACACTGAACACTGTGCAGAGGGAATTCTACTCAAACGGGGTCTCAGAATCCTCAGAATCAGATTTGAGAATATGTGTTCATGAGATGCAAAATGGAGAGAAAAGTATCTTCTGTCAAGAGTTTCTGTTGTCCCGGCAGAGGGACAGTACTGAAAAGCACATGTAAAAAGAATGTTCTCTTTGATTAAAAAGGAGGGAAAAAAAATCTGAGTACAGAAAGATGCCACAACAACACACTTGATGAACACCAGATTTGAGTTTGCCACGGTTACTGTATATGGTCCTAAAATAAAAAAAACAATCCATTTTATGTATAAATATTTATTATCAATTTGAAGACTTAATTTGCCAGAAAGTTACAGATCTGCCTATTCCAATTTTGTAACCATCTCTTCTGTACTTCTGTTCCCTGTTTGCCTGTTTAAGATGCTATCTGCAACTTTTATGTCATCAGGATTAACTCAAAATTTGGTAAAAAGAAATTCCCAGAGAACCAAGTTACAAAGATTCTGAGACAAAAAAGTGAATATACAAAATGCTGAAAAAAGTGGTGCTTTGAAAAAAAGTGCCTTTCAATTTACTATACATTTTGCAGTAACTTCAAAAAAATGGCTTCTACATGCAAGATAGATTTCATTACATTTGGTGTAAAACATTTATACATATTCTTTACAATTTGTACAAATATTTCATGGCTATTATAACACTTGATGGAATTTTGGATGGCAAACTAAAAGATAAGAAAGTGTGTAAAAAAATATAATTGAAAACTTGAAAAAGCATTTGGAGCCAGGTTGACACTGCATTTATATTGGCCTGGATTCTTTTTTATTGTAAGTTATTAAACAGAGGCAAGTGGCAATAGCACATAAATCAGTAGAACTTAATATACCCATCCCGGGAAATGGATATATTAGATGGGAGCATTCTGTTCACGGTGACTGAAATTCCTACATGGCACTATGGTCTGTTTTTGGCAACAGCTCCACTGTCAGTTCAATCTTCTTAACAGTTCAGCCTTTTTACATGTCACTCCAAGTATATGATGAAAGTGGTCTCACACCTGGTCCTGAATGTACTATTTTGAAACTAGCTGTTTCCTTGACCTTGTTTGCTGACACATGAATGGCTGTTTGTTATGGAAAACAGACTGCTGCTCTTGGCCATTATGTGGTCAAGTGTTTTAAATGCTGGGTCAAAGCAGGCTATTATATAAGGACCTACACCACAAAAGTGACCTTAGTACATTTTCTATTGTGTCAAGTGATGATCAAACACGAGCGACATTTGTTGAAGACACGGTGAAAGCTCCTAAGAATACACAGTATTAACTATCACTGGAAAGGAGCAGAAGGCGCATGGCTTTTAGAGTTAACTGACAAGGCAATATTCTCCAGATATTTGGAATGGCCAACATTTCCAAAGTCCAACCTTCTTTCCTATACAGCTAGGCAAGCTTTGAGGCATCAATGTTACAAGGACAGAATATTAAATGACTTCAGAAGGGGGATATATATATATATTACAGAATTTGAATGAAATGGCTTTATCAGAGAAAGACTGAAGCTTTGCTCAGCAGCAAAACTGTAATCAAAATTTTACTTGGCTGCTACCAAATGGTTTGTCAACCGGATAAATGAAATTACTCTTAAGGGAAAAAAACCGATTTACACCTCTTAACACATCAATCATTTCTAACCGGATGGCACTGAATACTTTTCAAGAGTTTAGAAGCATGTATCTTTTTGTAACCCATTTGGCAATTCAGAGCTCTATCATATCACATTCCAGTTTGGCTTAGACATAACAGAAAGGGAAAGCACTCAGGATAAAAAATATACATAAATATCCAAGGCATTTAGGCTAAGAAAGTAAACATCTCAAGTTTTCACTTTTTTTGCATCTTGTTTTTTAAAGGCTTTTTTTTTTTTAGATGGCAAAGGCATCTTGTATTTGCACTGCCCCCACCAAAAATCAGGAAAGCACTTTGGAGTTTTTTTTCCCTTCATTATCCATTATCTACATCACTGGAAAACGGCCGAGAGCCTGCCTCAGCTTCTGTGCAATCTGAAAGAGAAGAAGCATAACAATGTACAAAATTTATTTGTCGTATCAGGGCAAGCAGTCAATTGTATTACATTTCTAACAGAACAAAACAAACAAACAGCAAAATACAAAATTTGCGAGTTAGGTAGTTGATTAAATGTCCTTTGACCAGTAGCTGGTCACTTGGAGTGCTTCTGGAGTTGCTGCAAGAAGGTCCTCCATTGTGCATGTGGCAGGGCTCAGGGTGCATTGCATATACACACATAATGTCAATATGTGTATAGTGTGTATATATATTACTGTCAATGTACAAAATAACATCTTAGGAGATGGGATGTAGAGTAACCCATTAATAAATACAAATATTGCACACACTAAAACACTTATTACAAGCATTCATTCTGCACAGCATAATCCTACCCATGTGTACTCAGAAGTGCACTCTGATTCAGTCTGATAGGACTTGATCTCAAATGAACTGATGCAGCATTAGAGCCTTATTTTTTAAAAACAAAAACCTTATTTTCAATTCAAATTACAACATGTTAGATTTGCTATATTAGCCTTTGGTCCATTTTGTGTGTGTGTGTGTGCGCGCGCATGCATGTGTGTGTGTGTGTGTATATATATATGTGTGTGTGTGTGTGTATGTATGTGTGTGTGTGTGTGTGTGTATTACTGTCAATAACCAGTACCAAAAAAGGAACAAATGTCAAAATAGGAACATGACATGCATTTAGATATTGTCTGTAAACATTTATATTGATCCTGCTTTCCAAGATAATCAGTTTGGGTCACATGAATATATATTCATTTAATGCTTTTTAAAAAAATATTGATTTAAAAAATAAAAACACAATTTGTGTATTGCCATATGGTACAATCTTCCATTTTATTCTCTGATAGTAGAGTCTGAAGAGGATCCAGTCAACACTTGTACTTTAAATGGCCACATCACTCTTTTCTCCTTCACCAGAATGGGGCAAGGAGTGCATAAATCAATTGGTTCTCAATCTCACTGGATACAGAACTATCATCTGAACCAGCACAGATACACTTAAAAAAATAGATGTCCTTTTATCTTGACTTCCTCCTGTGTATTTCTTCCCTTTTAAATGATTAAGACACTTTTGGGTTGGAAAAAAAGAAGGCAAATTTCGGAGAAATACAACATACATGTGTTTCTGCATATTTCTAAGGTACAGAAGGGATTAAATGATAGGGAATTATGTGGAATCACTGCACACAGCATCATCATTATTCCTTCACTGAAAGGAATGAAAGAATCCATAATGAAGTGCCAAGTACAACTCATAGAGTATCCTGGCCAAAAAGCAAGCGGCAGCTGCACTGACTTGTCATGTGAAGCACAGGAAGCACCAGTCACACCAAGCAGCATTTTCTAAGGAGGAGAGGAAAAACTATTTCTCCAGAAGCATATTTATTTATTTATTTTAAAATGGAATTTGCACACTTCTGGTGGCTTTTCAAATTATCATGGATAAAGTTACTGTTTTCTTAGCTTTTTAAATGCATATTTTAAGAATGAAATACAAAATCTGAGAACAAAAACTGTGTGCATTTTAGTAGTCCTTTTCCTTCCATATAAAAAAAAGGGAGAGGAAGACTTCAGCACAACTGGCAGCAAGTTGCAACTTACCGTTTCATAGAATTGTGCTTGCTGCTCCAAATACAAGCGCATCACACTATTGTAATCATAAATTCGGTTACTGTGAAAATGATTCATCTCAGCTGTAAACAAAAAGTAAAATCACCACACATTAAAGGCTAATGCCAAAAACAGAATAAAACTGTACTTATTACAAGAAACCAAACAAAAGATAAAACTTCATGAATTACAGTAGCAATAACAACATGCTTGCTGCCTCGGACTCACTTTGCTCAGTGCAACAACAAATGAAGGACGGAAGGCAGAAATTGTAACAGGCACCACCACACACACAGGGCCAGGCAGAGGGAAGCCACCACTGTTTTTTATATTTTGCCTTTGCTGCTTCCAATTATTTATTAAAGGTTTCTTTTGCTGCCACCAATTTATTGTTTTATATTGTTTCATAGGTCACCTCCTTTAATGGAATGTTTAAAAAGCCACGCAAAGACTTCAGTTGGAATAAAACAGGAATATGTTGTTTATTTTGAACAGTCAATATGCGTAATGGTTTCAAATAACTAGTCAGGCTTTACTTCTTACAGATGATGGTACTTTTTTCTTGAGTTTCTTAAAACAAGTTCCCCAAACTGAAATCCAAACAGGATCTTTAAATCTTTTGAATTTCCCTTCCTCCCACAGCACTCTAATCACTATAGAGGCCTATTAAGTGTTATCCTCAAAGAGGTACCATATTTTCCAGCGTACTAGATGACTTTTTAACCCTGGAAAATCTTATGAAAATCAGGGTGCCATCTATTGAAAAGTCAGGGTGGTGGTGTGCCTTTGATGTGGCTGCTGAAGCATTCTGGGAGTTGGGGAACTTTGCCTGGGACTGCTGGCAGTCATAGTCTGGAGGCGCTTCCTTGGGCTAGGCAAACACAGGGCCTTGGAAGGAAGAGAGTGGCCGTAGCGGGGGAGGGCCTTGAAAGAAGAGCGGCAAGAGCAGCGGGGACAGCCCAGCGGCCCATCACCCCCGGCCAGTCTCCATGGCGATGCAGCCTCCCACTCCCTCCCTCCCCCTCCTCCTCCCTCGCCCCGCATTGACAAGGTTTGCACTATGGATTTCTTGTAACTAGATGAGTATAGTATTGCAAGAGGTATAGTCTTATGTGGCAAGTATATCCCTAATTTTGTATTTTATCTTGAAAAGCTGGGGGTCCCCTTATACCCCCAGTCATCTTGTATGCCAGAAAATATGGTATCTTTCATATAACAAATAGTTCCCAAATCTCTTCCTTCCCCCTTCAAAACTCCTAACCCTTCTTCCACACCAAACTCATAACTGAACTAAATAGCTGCTTCAGCTTCTTCTCTTTGCCTTTGGCTATACCCATCAGTTACTGAGTGTTTCCCTCCAATTTCATCAGCCAATCAGACTGAACTTCTGGCTAAGAGGCTGCCTGATCACTCCACCCCCTTAGCTATCCTTAGCTTTTGCAAGCTGGGGCTGTTTTCCAACTTTACACCAACCCTTTAAGGTAGGTCCACCCATTACACTTGGCCTCATCACTTGGAATATCCATATAAAAAGACAAAATGCATGGGAAACTCTTCAGGCTTAAAGTAAAGGCAAAGGTTTCCCTTTGACATTAAGTCTAGTAGTGTCCGACTCCAAGGGGTGGTGCTAATCTCCATTTCTAAGCCAAAGAGTTGGCGTTGTCCATAAACACCTCCAAGGTCATGTGGCCAGCATGACTACATGGAGCACCGTTACCTTCCCGCCGAAGCAGTACCTATTGATCTACTCACATTTGCATGTTTTCGAACTGCTAGTTTGGCAGAAGCTGGCCCTAACAGAAGGAGCTCCCCAGATTCGAACCTCCAACCTTTTAGTCAGCAAGTTCAGCAGCTCAGTGGTTTAAGTCACTGTGCCACTGGGAGCTCCTCTTCAGGCTTAAGGGTGTGGTATTCACAACTCAGAGGCACTACCATGCTAAATTGCTTCATTATACCTATCACTGCTGAAGATATACTTCAATTTGAACACTACAATTCCTGCAAAAATTACAATCTTTAGCATTTTAATTCCAGCTCTTCTGAATATATTTTTGCAAATCGCTGCTTTTGGACAAACTTATCTACTAAATCTATTATATCAGTCAGTGAAATATATTCACTTCCACACTTATTATTCTAGTTATTTCTTTTTGCAGATCTGAAAACAGATCACAAAACACCACAGCATAAAAACCGCAGTTGTAATAAAAGCAACAGAAAGTTTGGTGATGAAATAAGCACATTTCTCTCTCTCTCTCTCACACACACACACACACACAGAGAGAGAGAGAGAGAGAGAGAGAGGAGAGAAAGAGAGAGGATTCATTTTTAAACTTAATTATACCACACTGTTTAAATGCTCAATTAAATGTTTTCAAAGTACTGTATTTTAATATGTTCTATGCTAAGGGACACATAATAGTGTTCACTATTAATGGTATAGTTTTCATGTATAATAGTAAAATGAAACTATTTCTATGAGGTTACTGAGAGGTAAGAAACTTTTATGGCAAACAGATATGAACAGATAGGCAGTCCTGCCTCTTGCTTTAATTTGGGTAAATCCTAACTCTGTCCCAGAATAACTACCAAATTGACGCCCGTTCATGTTTGCTGTCCATCATTAGTTTTGCCCTTCTCAGCCTCCATCCTTCATGCCCAAAGAATATGAAAAAATAAAGCACGGGAACAGACATACCTTGTAGTGCATATGACATTGTGCTTGAGCGTTTCTGCATGTTGTGCTTATCCTGTGGAGTAATTTTGCTGGTAGCAACTAATTTATCGCTTTCCTTCACCTTTTCTATGGCTCCCTGTTATGACAAAAGTGTCACACAATGTATCGCTAAAATAACAAACATTCTAGGAAATTGCCCTTAAATGGCTACAAAAAGAACTTCCAAGGCTTAAACTAAAACAAGGCATGAAATTACATTGCAGTGGGAGGGGGGGGGGAGTTAAGCTCTCCCAGCCATACAACCATTCTACAATTGTTGGGATGCAGGAAGGAAAAGAGAGTGATTTTTGCCCTCCTGCATCTCCACAGAGACATGGCTGAAGGTCCTGGGGGGCCAATGGCCACTCTCTTCTCCTGGCTCTACTGGTTCAACTGGCTGCTATCCAGGCACCCCTCTTCCCTCCCGACTAAATGGCAGTAATAACACATTTGGAAGTCACCCTCCAGTGATGGAGAATGGAGAGGAAATACTGACTACCTTCTGCAAAATTCCAAAATGGCAGGCTGGCTCCAGGTTGCCCCCACAACAGTATTTGAGTAGAAAATAAAAAAGAGTGACAAAAAAGGCTCAGTACCTTATGAGCAGCTATGATATCAGGGAAGCAACCAAGAAATCCTTTGTATTCATGATTTGTTTCCATTAGAAAATGAAGATCCTTCTTTGGCTGGCAAAGAAAAACATTCAGTAATTAACTCCATAGCATCTGTGTGCTTACAATGAAAATCATGGCAAGTGGGGACAAGAGTCAATAATCTGAGCACCTGAAGAAAATACTTATCTTCTCTTATATTTTAAATCTCTTTCTAAAGCTTTTCCCAAATGTAAGGCCAAGTAATGTATGACAAGTACTGTTTCTGTTCCTTTTGAGTTGCCTGTCAACTTATGGCAACCTCATGAATTAAATAGGGGTTTTTTAGACATGGAATAGTCAGAGATGGATTATTATTATTATTATTATTATTATTATTATTATTATTATATGATTATGTTTATTTATATCCTACATTTCTCTCCAAAAGGAGACTCAAAGTGGCTTTCACTAAAAGCATTTCAATACATCTTAAAATATACAAATATTAAAACAGAATTAAACATCATTAGTATTAAAAACAATAGTTAAAATCCATTAAAATATATTCAAAACTAAAAAAACCACAGCTTGAACTTAAAAACGTTCTTTTTTAAAAGCCTGCCTGAATAAAAAGGTTTGTCACTGCATTCCTCTGATATGCAGCTTACAATGTCTTGTATTCCCCGGTGACCTCCCATGCAAATACTAATCAAGGGCTAGCTCTGTTTAGCATTCAAGATCATACAAGAGCTGGTGCTTTCCAATGCAATACTCTGTATTTTATCTAATATCTGTTTTTCACCTTTTTCTAAAATGCGCATATAGTTTGCAAAACTTCAGTTCCTATGGCGAGAAGATTGCATTTAGCCCCTGCTCTTTATATGGCTGTATGTGAGGAAGATCAACAGCTACTAGGCCTGTGCGGTTTCGTTCGTTAATTTTGTTATTCGTTAAACATTCGTTATTTTTAGCATTTACGAAACGATATCAAAACACTTTTTCAAACCCGGAAGGGTTTAAAATATCGAAGCGGCATCCCCCATCCTTTTAACGAGCTTCCGCCCGTTTCGGAAATTGGATGGAGGATGCTGGTGCCTGGGAGCCAATCCGGCGCTCCCAAGCACCCAAGCAGTGCACCGTGGCTGATTTTGATTGGCCGGCAAGGCCTTTAAAAGCGGCTCCGCGTGGCCGCAGAGCTCATTTGTTGCGCGGAGGCGAGGGAGGAGAGAGGTCCGGGAGGGCTGCTTGCTTTGGGTTGGCTTGGGTAGGAAAAAGACTTGCATTGGGTTGGCTCTTGGCTTGGTTGGAAAAGACTCTTCTGTTGGTGTTTGCTCTCGCGATTGCCCTGTCTTTTGGCTGTGTTAGCTGTTCATCAGGGCCAGTTTTTGGTTAATTTTCCATTTTTGAATATTTTTAAAAAATACCTGTCTTTTATTCTTTAAAAAAAATACAAAAAATATTCTAAAAAAGAGAAGACTCTTCTGTTGGTGTTTGCTCTCGATTGCCCTGTCTTTTGGCTGTGTTAGCTGTTCATCAGGGCCAGTTTTTGGTTAAGTTTCCATTTTTGAATATTTTCTAAAAATACCTTTCTTTTATTCTTAAAAAAAAAACCCAAAAATATTCCAAAAAAAGAAAAGACTCTTCTGTTGCTGTGTGCTCTCGATTGCCCTGTCTCCTGCCTGTGTTAGCTCTACATCAGGGCCAGTTTTTGGTTAATTTTCTATTTCTGAATATTTTCTAAAAATACCTGCCTTTTATTCTTTAAAAAAATACAAAAAATATTCCAAAAAAGAAAACACTCTTCTGTTGGTGTGTGCTCTCGTTTGTCCTGTCTCGTGGCTGTGTTTGGTCCACATCAGGGCCAGTTTTTGGTTAATTTTCCATTTCTGAATATTTTCTAAAAATACCTGTCTTTTATTCTTAAAAAAAAAAACAAAAAATATTCTAAAAAAAGAAAAGACTCTTCTGTTGGTGTGTGCTCTCGTTTGTCCTGTCTCGTGGCTGTGTTTGGTCCACATCAGGGCCAGTTTTTGGTTAATTTTCCATTTTTGAATATTTTAAAAAAATACCTGTCTTTTATTCTTTAAAAAAATACAAAAAATATTTTAAAAAAGAAAAGACTCTTCTGTTGGTGTGTGCTCTCGTTTGCCCTGTCTCGTGGCTGTGTTTGGGCCACATCAGGGCCAGTTTTTGGTTAATTTTCCATTTTTGAATATTTTCTAAAAATACCTGCCTTTTATTCTTAAAAAATACAAAAAATATTCTAAAAAAGAAAAAACTCTTCTGTTGGTGTGTGCTCTCGTTTGTCCTGTCTCGTGGCTGTGTTTGGTCCACATCAGGGCCATTTTTGGGTTAATTTTCCATTTTTGAATATTTTCTAAAAATACCTGTCTTTTATTCTTAAAAAAATACAAAATATTCGCTTTAACGAATCGATTCGTTATTATTTCAATATCAAATCGAATCGTATTTAATAACGATGCTTCAAAAGCCGCTTTGCGCATGCGCGATCGCGTCCGCCATTTTAACGAATCGATTCGTTATATCCTTAACGAATCGACCCTCGTGCCAATAACGAAACTTCGGAAGTGTTTTTGCGCATGCGCGGGGGTCCGCCATCTTAAATTTTCGTAAATATTAACGGATTGTAGGGGGAAAATTTTGTAATTATTTTAAATATCGAAACAAAAAAACACCCCAATTACAAATCGATTTTAGAACCAAATTTTTTCTTGATCAACCAGGCCTAACAGCTACATTGAGATCCAAACAGGCAGCACCCTTTTGTGTACTTCATTTTCATTCTGTGTACATATAGGTCCCAAGCAAAATTTTAATCAACTATATTATTGATAGATTTATAAATTTCTTTGGGCCTTCCATAGACTCTACAGACATATCTGTCAATGTAATATTAATACATATTCACCTGTTCTGCCACAAGACTGGCAATTTCTTCATATGTTTTTCCTGCTTCTGTAATTGCTTCATTGAGGTCAGTTTCACCTAAAAACAAAAGTGACAGAGAACCTTTCATGTCGATCAATACACAGCTCAAGGAAAAATAACCATAGTTCACCTAGTTGAAGTAAGTGAATTGTAAAACAGCATCTGCTGGATAAATTCTAATCATCAGTACAAGAAAATGCATAAACCAAGACTTAATTATAAAAAAATGTAAGAAAGAGTTGGATGTTAAGATAAAGAACAAGAGCCCATGGCCATACCACCCTAATAAGGACCAGAAATTCAGCAGAGCAAAAAAAAAATTATTTAAATTATTTATTTGGTCTTTTAAACCAACCTAAACAAATACACACTTTTAAAGAAAATAAAGACTATCCAATTAATGATATCCAAATGTCACGAAGAATACCTTGGTACCCGCTGGTACTGAAAACCAGGGCTAAACCCTGTAAAGCTTTTCCTATTTTCTGATATTCCTTCGGTAATGCTGAAAGAGAGAAGATTTGACCTTAAAATAGAATCCATTAAAAGTTTGCAAAATGCAGTAAATAACTGCAACTAGAAAACACCAGCACAAGGCAGTCTTATCAAATCCATTCCAGCTGTCCCTGTACTCTTTCACTGGCTGGGTCCTTTTTACTTTCTCTGAGGCAGTGCCATTCGTTTTCTTAGTGCCATTACTTTATTTGCTATGATCATTGGGCTTATCTTGCTCCTAAAAACAATTCATCTGTTTGACGTTAAGTACGTAAAATCCCTTAGTCAGCATTCTGTTATTGACACAGCCATACATTACACAACACACTTAGAATGGCAATGGGCAATAGCTGTATCCCATTGACAACGGTATAAGTGGGGCTGTGATGAGGGATTGTTGTGAACTAAAGAGTCATCTGTAAATATGTGCTGCCTCTTCTCATTGCCCTAACGCACTGCACACTACAACTGTGTAATGGTTTGTCAGCCATACACATTCACCATTGAACCACATTAATGGGTATTTAGCATAAGGATTGCAGAAAGTAAGTCTGCTGGCAGAGATCTGTGTTATGATGAATGTAGCATCTTGGCTCTTGTGACTTCAGCTAATTACTCAGAGGAATTGGGCAGGTGGTTTCCAAAGTTCAAAGGCCTATGGGTGGCTGGGAGCTAAAGTAATAATTGCTACAGCATACTTACATCACAGGCTTTCAAGCACTCCTTGACTACAAGCACCACCTGATATCTGTCAGAAAGTAGCAGCCAGTAATGAAAGGACCAAGGCATTTCTGGCCTATTCTCTGTTTGGATGCCTGCCAGCATGCCAACGTCTTAAATCAAGAAATAGCTTCCTAAGACCTACAGTAACACCTCAGCAAGAATGAGTCCACAAGTGGCAGCGAAAACCTGGAACCTCTGGGCACACAGAAGGCTGGGCGACTTGCAAGGCACTGAACAGACTGCACTCTGGGACCAAAAGATGAAGAGCCAACCTTAAGTAATGGTGCTACAAAGTGGAGTTCACCACATGCTAGTGTGAAGAAGAGCAAACCACAGACCACTTACTACAATGCAGTCTGAGTCCTGTCACATGTACAATGGAGGACCTTCCTACAGCAATATCTGAGGCGCTCAAAGTGGCCAGCTTCTGACACGATAAATAAAAAAATACTCTGCATCTTGCTACAGATCTGTTAAGTAGGCTAAGAGACTTGCAACAGGCATGCATCAGCAACTGTTAATTTATGAGACAGGAGGCTTAGTCCACAATGTCTCTCTTAAATCACTGAATCCACAAACACAACTAATTTAACACATTTTCTAGAGGAATTAACTAGCATTTAAAATCAGATTATTCAAGAAGGTTTGTGAAGCATGTATGCAAATTATCACACTGCACATCCAAACAGGATATCTGAACAATGACAGCTTTGTTTTCAAGATCACACATCCTGAACAAATCTGGGAACCTTGGCATGACCTGTAAATCCAGTTGCACTAAAGAGGATGTCTGTACTATTTTGCTGTGCTTATTTATTTAAGGGAAACATATCTATGGTTCAATACAACATGATCTGAACTATTTAATTGTTGGACAAATAACTCTTTAAACTTCCTTTATCAGATTCAGTTTATTTTTAAAATATTTTTTTATTAAAAAGCAACCCCCACAACAAAATAAAACACAAATTCCAAAACAAAAACCTCACAATTGTGGGGTATCAGATTTGCTGTATGAGTGTTCTAATGCTAGTCATAAACAAAGGAAAGCTGTACATGATATAGATAAAAGTGCAATTGTCAAGTAATGACAGCTTGTTAACCATAGTTACTTACGTCCTGTACAACGTTTCCAGTGTTCATGGCCGACTGTCAACAATTCCTTAACGCCATCATCCATAGCTTTGGTGAACCTGCCAACTGCATCACATTTCTGTTCACTGTATGACAAAAGAAATGAGTCAGATTTCTTTGGTGAATTCAGAGAGGATTTTAAAAAAAAAGAAATATCCTAATTGCTCATAAACCTATACATTTCCTCCTGTATTTCTCCTTTGTTTGCTTACGAAGCCTAGCTCTATAGCTCACTATTTTCCTGCACTCAGGAAACAAAAGAACGATCTAGGCAAATCATCCTTTAATAGTGATATTATACATCAAATTAATCAAGAAGTAATATTTAATTCTGTTGAAGGAAAAGATGAATACCAAGAACATTGATTCGTAATATATTATCCTTGGTCCAGTGTAGCAACAGTACTGCCAGTCTAACAATAGATTCAATATTTTGGAGCAACATTGTTCACCTTAAAACATCAATGAACCGAGGAAAAACAGGACATAAACAAATGGATAAAAATGAAAAATTGCAAGAGGCTTCTCATGCATCTGATAATAATTAGCCCCAAGAAGAGAGAGGAGTTGAAAGATGTACCATTTAATTCCAAAGTCCATCCTTAATCTCCTATAGAAGAACAGGTTTCTTATCTGTGACTGCAGTTCCCCAAATGGTTATCTGTGAACTCGTACAAATGGTTAAACTTGTTGTTTTACAGGAATGGTTTGGCACTTTTATAAAGCTCAAAGACGCAATTTGGCAGAAGCCCCATGCACTCACGTACATCCATCCAACTCTTCCCCCAGTTCCTTGTGGTCTGCCACACTGACAACCCATGAGAAACAATGCAGACACACTTGAGGTGAAGAGGGTGGTATTATGTGAGTTCACAGATGTCCACTTGAAGAACCACAATTACAGGTGAAGCAATCTGTTCCTTTTCTTTGTGGTTTCTGACTCACACAAATAAGGGTGCTGCTTTGCAAAACTGATGTAATGCTTTTCTAAATGATGTCTCCTGAGGAAGTGATGAATGAAAGTGGAGAGTTCAGCCCATACTGCAGTACTGCAAATGTCAAGCAAATCCTACCAGAAAAGCAAGTGAACCTGATAATGCTTTTGTAGAATAGCTCCTAATATGTTGAGATAGTAGCTTACAAGCTAAATTGAATCCAGAACTTGTTTCACAAATTCTTTTGCTTATGGAAAACCAATGAATGGTGAAAAGGAGAGAGCGCATTTAAAACCACTTGGGAATGAATATATATTCAAAGGTCAGACTAATACCATTGTCGTACTTTGGAATTGTCAAGTATCTTGAATAGCCCTTCTTTTATATGAGATCACAGCATAACTCTGTTAGCCTCATTTGTAGAATGAAGGCAATTTCATTCTCAAGATTAGAAGATGGGGCAGAGAAAGGAAGAAAGCCTGAGGTGGGAACTGAAATCAACGGCATAGCCTATGTACTTGAAAATCAAGATCCAAGTATAATTTTCCAGAAAATGATGACGCAGTAACCCAAGAGGAATTTAGATATGCATATCAGACCAGGCAACCTGGAATCGAAGGTAAAGTATGTCATCTGGCTTCCTAAGGCAAAAACCATACCAACAAAGGGGATGAGGAATATTGGGATGAAGGCATAAATGCCTGGAAACTAAACTTGACAATACCATAAGGACTATTTGGAGGAGGGAGAAGCTCCCATCTTGTTCTCAGATGCATGCAGCTTTTGGTTGTTATTCATCTAATTGTTAATCTTGAGACTGGAGAAGTTATTTTTACAAAAGAGATCTTGGACTGTTGCTTTCACTTCAAGGACAGCATGACTGCATCTAGTAATGGCCTTTACCTTGCAATCAGCTAGGCAAGGCAATCTACCATTCTGGTAATTATGAAGTTTTCTCATTTCCATCTGGAATATTCAATTCAATTTCCGAACCTTTTACAGAAATTTGTTGGGTGGGCAGAGTAGGACTTTCTCACATCCCAGGAAAATGGTGGGGTGTAAAAAATAAATAAATAACTGATTAAAATGTTGAAAAGCACCAAGAGGACTCTAGAACTTATGGAAGTTTCAAACTATACTGTTAGTATTGTGGGGCTTGATAAGCAGGAGTTGGGAAAAGGTTGGGAACTACACTTTACATCTTTGTATCTTTGAGTTATATCAAGTGATGAACCAATACTGCTCAGGCTCAGGATTACCCATTTGTGTGAGTTGCAGAATTTACAAAGAAGAACCATAGGGATCCATGCATTGGCCCAATGATACTGTTCTCAGAATTGCAAGATATATATTTACGCCTTTTCATCAAGTGACAGTATTTTTGCAATAATGAAGAGGAGGAATCCAACACCTTACATTTCTATCATATCCAAGTCAGGACCTTCTGGTTCCATAGTAGAAAAGACCATAACACCCACAATCTCATCTTTTTCTGCCTTCCTCTTACCCGTTTTCCATTCCTAAGGGTAAGAGGGGAAAAGTCATGGTGAGAGAAAAACACATTAAGAACGGACATCCTGAATAGCTTCATAACCAAGGACAGCGAGGGCTCTTCAATAAGTGATGACTAAAGCTGTGATTCAAAAAAGCAGATGACTTACCTCAAATTCAAAACCTAGAATTCAGAGAGAATGCCCCTTTTGCACATTAGTTGCTTTTGAAAATAAAAAGGTTCAGAGTAGGTTTCTTAAATTAAATCATAGGGGGTGTCTATTTCAATAATGTGAGTGAAAACTTCTGCAGAAACAGCACAAGTTTTGACATACACATGGGACATGACCTGACCTGCACTATCTATCCCACACTTAGCCACATATTCACAGTATCTGATCTTAATATCCATCCACAAAATACAGATTTTTATAAAGAAAGATGCTAGCATTCATTGTAATTTTCCCCTACAAAATAGCACATTCCCTTCTCTGAAACCATTTTCCCAATACAAATGGAACAATCGGTTTTTGTTTATAATTTATGCACCAAAACCCTTTATATAGGGAGCGTACAACCTATGGCCCTCCAAATTTATTTATTTACTTACTAATTTACTATATTTATATCCCATCTTTCTCGACCTTGAGAGGGACTCAGGGCGGCTTACAGCATAGGCAATAATTCAATGCCTCATGAACAATATACCTCCAATATACAATTGAATAAATCTTTCAATTAATAATTTAAATGAGATAAAATGCATTAAAACATATAAAACATTGAAATTACAACTATAAAACCACATTATCCACAATCATAGTCAGGCCATTCCAGTAATCATTGCAGGGTTATAAATCTGAGCAGTTTCAGCTAGAACAGTCAATGATAACATATCATATGATCTACAGCTAGATAATATCTAGAAAATTACAACTGAGTTACCTTTTCATCACGAAAGCTAAGGAACTGTTGAAAAAGTTCACTTTCTGAAACAACTGGATGACGACACATCCTGGTCATCCAACCTTGTAGCCTTTCCATCCGCATCTTGATGAATTCTTCCTCAAAACGCCCTGTTAGCCAACAAATGGCAGCCATTGACACTCACTATTAACGCTAACTTTTCCACCCGGTAAGATGAGTCATTTTGAAATCAGTATTTGTAAATTATGGAATACTCTGAATCATCTCAAAAGCATGGCAAAATACACACATTTTACAATACACCTGAACTTTATTTGGTTTTGCTCAGCTAGCAGATATACAGTGTTCCATGTATTGTTGTAATCTATGACAGGAAACATTTTTGGTTGTTAAAAACAAGACACACTTCAGTCAAGGTGTGTAATTTACAGTTTAAAATTTGGAGATCCTCCATCACCATTAGAAATGTTACTTTGATCTTTGCCTCACATGCTTTATCATTTCATCTGCAAAATTGTTCCTTGTTGCATTATATCAAATGTGACAACCATCACAATAAAATAGAAAGCAGCAACATATTGTTTGTGCTGCATATGCCAGTAATTAGTGTTACCACTGAAAAAATAATTTCCTGATGAACATTATATCAAAGCTGAAAAAGCTAATGCGCATAATGATTTTCCAGTGTTTTCATTAACAAATTAGGAGGGAATAAACATTAATTACTGTTTCCTTCATCTGGTACAGTCACAAAATGGGAGGGGAGGGGGGAGAGGGCAAAGAAGAATGCTGTAAATGCGAAATGGTTAACAATTTCAAATGAACTCAAAAGACTCTCACTGTTTTATTCTAAGCTCATGCTCTCATTTTAGAAAATGCTGGTGGCTTTCTAAGCTTGAAGCTAACTAAAGGAAAAATTGAGTAATTTCCTCAGTTCTCCGTTTTCTTGGCATTCATCCTAGTATGCCCATCAGTGTTCAGTTTTCTTCTCATGCAGTACCTGCCTACATTTTCAGTGCTGCATAGTTACAGGGCTGTCTATCTAAATCAATGGTTCCCAACCTTTGGTCTTCAGGTGTTTGGGACTTCAACTCTCAGAAATCACAGCCATCATACCAGCTGTTAAGAACTGTGGGAGCCCAAACACCTGGAATACAACAGGCTGGGAACCACTAATCTAAATCTTTCCAGTTATCTATATAAATAAAAATGTAATTTTTGCTTGTGGGATTAACATAACTCAAAAACCACTAGACGAATTGACACCAAATTTGGACACATTACACCTATCAGGCCAACAAGTGGCCATCACTCATAAACACACTGAAAAACACAGCAGAAGAGACTTAAAAGGCAAAAAAGCAAAAAAACACATTACAACGCATGCACAAAACCATATATATATATATATATATATATATATATATATATATATATATGCAAACACACACACATATATATGTATATACACACATATACACCAATATATACACACCCATAACACATCTATACAGACTTGGCTACAGCAATGTGTGCCAGGGGACAGCTTGTCTTTTTATAAATTTCATCTTTCCACCAGAGGCTTACAATTCCTACCAGAAAGTACTTTGACACCTGTATGAGGAATTACTTTAGATTATCTCATATTTTTAAAAATCAAGCCAAGTTCAAATCGCTTAATCCTGTAATTTGTTATGAGATTTAATACCCGAATCAAAAACATAACAAAATCAATAGAAATACTATCTTTTGAAAGTGCTACCCTGTTAAAAAATAAAATCTTAGAATTTATTTTCAAGCAAGTGTAGTATAGAATGTATATAAAAATGAAGTGGGAATAATACCAGCCTTTAAACATCTATAGGTGGAAAGAAAAATGCATAAAAATGTAGAATGGGTCAACTTGACTGTGCCGCAAAGTGCTGAACAAAAATCTAATCCTAGTGCATGATCTTTATAAAAAATATATTGTTTCGTTTCTTATATTCGGTTTTAAAAAGTTACCTGTAACTTGCTTGTCTGGAAGTGATGGAATTGGAATGGCTGATCCAAATTTAATCAAGAGTCGCTCATATAACCAGTCAAAGTGTTTGTATCTGTGGTTGACAGATCGATTAGTGTTCTGTGAAACAAGTGAACAAAAAACATAATCTTATTATTCTTACAAAAAATATATATTCACAACAGCATAATATATATGCATTAGCCAATATTATTTAACTCTGTGATGCAAAGCTTAGATAAACTATAAAAGAGTAACTAGACATTTTGAGGTGAGCACTTACTGTACATGTGAGCTGATATTCGATGTAGCTCTTAAGACCATACATTTTAGAACCTTTTTTGGGGTCAGCCACAACACAATCAAATGTAGAGGTAGGATAAACCCACATGGGACCATAATCTCCAATCTACAAGGCAACAACAGTTTTTATCAGTTGTATGCATAGGTATTTAGAAGTAGAAGCAATCAATGCTCTCAAACATAAAAATTGAGTAAGACATTCGTATCACCTAGGAAATTACATTATGAGATGTAATGCCACAACAGACTCTTACGATACATACATCAGCTTGGAGCAGGTAATCAATGGACTCTGTACGAACAGCCTTTTAGGATCTCCCTTTTTTCCAACTTAAGAATTATAAATAATACATTCTGATTTTTTCCACATCATTTAAACTAGATAGCACAAAGATTTAATAAACATCTGAAGTAATTCAACTTGGTTGTGCTGTAGAAGGTATAATCAAGCAGAATTAACTCAATTAATTTTAATGCTTTTTAATGAAGTGTGAAATCTCTATTTAAAAACATTAGTGTATGAGGAGGCTCCATTTGCAGGAGCCTCTGAATACAGTAACTCTCAATGCTGAGTCCCTCTGAAAAATCAAAAAGTAAGCAAGCAGCTCAGCATAACCATGATTTATCACTCACACTGCACTTGCTGTTTTAGTGAATGTTAACATTTTGAAAGGGTTCGTATCAGCACTTTCCAGATATATAAGGATATATTTAAAATATAGAACTTACAATTATAGGTATTTTTTCTTTGGGTTTTGTTAGTTGCTTTGCCAACAGGTACTGTTCCACTCCAGGTTTTGCAAATCCAGGAAATCTGATCACAGAAATAAAGTGACTGAGTCCTTCTTTCACAGGCACATTGCTAGATTCAGAAACACCTGCCATACTTTATAGATGCAGTCGTTTAAATGAGGTGAATGAACCTATTACTAAAACCTCTGTGTGAAAATGATCCAGTTACAACTGCATTAGAAGTTAGGGAATTAAGTAATCTCTCATTTGTCTGCCTTCAGCCAATCAGAACAAACAGAGCAGAAGAACAGTTAGTACCAACTGTCACTGCAGCACCATTTCAAAAGCCTCTGAATTCTCTTCTGTAATTTGATAAACTCAGAGTTATTGGACCCAAACCAACCACTAGTACAAAACTGGGACGTATGCTGACATTAACTTCCATTAAATCAGAGGATCTATTTTAATTAAGATTAATTCAAACTCTTGGGTTAAGGCTGCCAACTCTTACAAATCGGTTCTGTCACAATCCAAAACACATTGTCCACCAACCCAAAATGCACAAATCCTCACCCCCCACCTCACCATTAGCAGGGCTCCTATGTCATCGCTTCCAAATCACATTAGTTTGGATCATGCCACAATGTCCTGAGATCGATAGAATAGGACAGAATGCAGTGTTGAATAATCTAACCCTAGGAAGGGAAATTAATTCCTGGAAGAGTTATCATAGGGAAAAGGTGTCTCCACAGAAGCTTTTTCACCAATCCTTGTTTCCACTACAAGACTTTTTTTAAAAATCCAATTATCAGGGGCAAAAAAATAAAAGAAAAAAAAAGAGGCGCAATCTTCTAAACAGGGGCACAGACAGCAAAACAAACACTACTGGGGTGTTAACCTCTCCCTATGCTGTCCAAAGCTCGCTCACGCTCTCTCTCTCTCTCTCTCTCTCTGTCGGTATATGACTGGAGTTATACTTTAAAATGTACCTGTTCCGACTTACGTACAAATTCAACTTAAGAACAAACCTACAGAACCTATCTTGTTCGTAACTTGAGGACTACCTGTACATATCCAAGACTACAATTTTGACTTGAATTTCTTTCAACTAAATATTGCTGAATAAATAATCAATTTCCATCAGATTTGCATCTTGTGTAGTGAACTTCAGCCCCTGAAAGCATGTGTCATAATGATTTTTAAAGACTTTAGGAAACCATAAATCTTTTCCTGCGGGAAAGCAACACAGTTATCCTCCAAAAACTGCATTAGAAGAGGGCTACAAAGTTCTGACTACACAAACTAGTTCTAGCTGCTTCATCATTCTTTAGTATTTTTATAACCCATACAGATCTGGGAGTTTTACTTGTTTAGTGGCAATTTCATAGCAGCCCCTCGGTTATTTCCACGCTGGAGTCCTGTTGGGTCAGTAGGTTCTGTCTCTTTATAGCCAGGATAGGGTGCAGCTGCCGATTTAGGGTCATCCCAGTCATCATCCCAATCATCGTCATCAGCTGCTGCTAAAAGGGGATGATTGCCAACATCAGATAAACAGAACAAAAAACTAACAACCATCCTTCACTCAATTTAGTTGCACACAAATTCCAATAGAGCTAGAATGACCAAAACAACATTTTGAGGCAAAATGGCATGATACTGACAAATAACAAATATAATGGGAAGTCTCAGTTTCCAAATTCATCAATAAGTCTATCTTCTTAATGTTTTCACATTAACTCAATAGGCACAAACAATCGTCAACATATTTTCCAAGGAATGCACCACAACCCTTAAGAATAGTTACAGAAATTCTGCTTACCTGGACCTTGGTAAGCTTGCGGGTGACCAAATGCTGCCGCATCCCAGTTGTTTGTAGTACTATTTTTCTGCTTAGCTTCAGGTTTGGATGCCCAGCCATCACCAGCTGTTGCGTTGTCCCAGTTTGACCAGGGGTCACTTGCATTGCTAGAAGCCTACATTAAAAAAAAAGATGTGAGAAAACACCCATACTTTTAGGAAATATCAGACAAGAAAATTAGATACATTACAGTACTTAACAGTAACAATGAATCTGTTGTATATCTGTTGTAACAATAAATCTTTGAACTGATAGGACCAAACTAAAAGTAAATGAAGCACATGCGTAGGTTCCAATTGAGATAAAGGTTTTCCAAATGACACCAGAACCTCCTTCACTTGTAAGCCTATTTAAAGTATGTGCAGTAAAGAACTCCCATAGACTAGCAATGCCCTTAAGATAGATAAAGGTAACATGGTGTGTGTAAAACAAAAACAAAAAATCTCAAAATACACCTCAGGGAGGATATCCAATTCTATTTCTACCTTACAACTGCTGCCAAAGAGGTTGTGGTAGCTTTGAATTGTCTGCAGGAAAGGACTGGCAGTAAACTGGTTGAGGCTCAATCCAGAAAAAAAACAAAAAAACAAAGTGCTTCTGGTCAATACAAAAATGAATCTGAAGCTGGAATCACAGCCTATTTTGGAAGGAGTTGCTTACCCTTTGAAAGATCAGTTGGACCAAGTGCTAATCCTGGAAATCTAGATTGCTGCTCTGGCTTCACACTTTCTTGGGGAAAGTAGATTCATCCATAGTGGCTCACACCTTAGTTATCTCATATTTAGATTACTGTAAAATGTTTTACACAGGGCTGTCTTTGAAAAATGTTTGGTCATTGCAACTTGTGAAAAATTCAACAATCGGGTGTGCAATTTAGAAACCATATAATTCCAATCCTGCAATCACTACACTGGTTTCCAAATTGGCTTCTGAACTTAGTTCAACCTACAAAGCTAAACACCTGGGGGCCAAAATGTTTGAAAGGCTGCCTTTTCCAATATATGCCTGTTAGAAATGTGAGATATTGGGAGGAGATCCTGTTGTATCTCCCAAAACCTCTTAGCAACTGTGGAACTCCTTACTCAAGGAAGTTAGGCATTTTAAAGGTTTCTGGTATCTCTCATGGCATTCAGTATTTGGAATTACTGTTTAAACAATTTCAAAACTAGCTTTTCAAATTGTTTTTCTATTGCTATTAAGAGTTTTAAAAGAGGATTGAAAATGTTTTAATTTTTGTATTGTTGATAGGCTTTTATTTGTTATTTGTCTCAGGCACCCTTGTGAGCTGGGAGACAATACAGAAATACTTTAAATAAATAATAAAATAATATACAGCTCACTTTATCTATCTGTGAAATTTATATTTAATAACTTAAAATAAAAGAATATCTATTTGTTATAATGCAAACATTTCAAAAAGGGAGTAACATTGTTTAGAAAAGTCAAATCAAATAAAAGTTTCAGCGAATTAAAACATGCATACTACTTGAATAAATGTGCAAAATTGCAGGGCAACATTTGGTTTCCATCAACTGTCAACACAAGAATTTTAAAGAATTTCATTGTATGAATTGTGTGGTATTTTCTGATCTCAAATGAAATTCCAATGTATTATGTGGAAAGGAAAAACACCTTGTCTAAAGGTGCGTTTATGTGTGCAAAACACACAAACACACAACTACAAAGGGATATACAAGGTACCACCCATCATTTCCTACATAAATGGACATATAGTTTTATTTAAAGAGAAACTCTAAAAGCAGTATTGCACAACTAATACAATTTGAAAATTACATTCCTGTTTTATACTTCCAGATAAAATACTAACACAAAAGACAACATTTATTAAAAACAAGACTCCGAAATGTCTAGGTGATGTGCCCACATGTAACCTTGATTGTACCAGAGTATGTATTTTCTTGAACATTAAGGAACAGGTTTAAACAGCTCCACTGGCTGCTGATAAGCTTCCAGTCCCAATTCACGGTGCAGGTTATCACCTACAAAGCCCTAAATGGTTTGGGACCTGCCTACCTTTGCGATCACATCTTCCCCTATGAACCAGCACAAGCTCTAAGATCTTCCAGGAAGGGCCTTCTCTCACTTCCGCCTCCGTCTCAAGTGCGGTTGGTGGGGGCGAGAGAGAAGGCCTTCTTGGTGGTGTCCCCTTGGCTCTGGAACTCCCTCCCTAGGGAGATTAGACCAGCACCCAAACTGTCCACCTTTCGCAAGGACTTAAAAATGTGAATGTTCCACTGTGCCTATGACTGAGCAGTTCATCAGATAACTGACCCCCAAATGCAATTTACCAATAGCTCCTGCACTTTAGCACTGCCCTCTACCCTATAGACCCAGTATTCTAATACCAAAAGATGTTACCCTTCCAGCCCTAACTTTTACCGCTTTTTGCACTTCTCCATTAGCCTTGTCTTGAAACTATTGCATATACTTTTAGCCCTCCAAGCTCAGTATCTTTTACTGATCGGGCTAGGGATTGTTTTTATGATGTCATTTTGTGATATCGTGATGTGTTGATTTTATTTTTAATTATTTTGATTTTATTTTGATTTTATTCCATTGTGTCATGTTTTAATCTATGTTTTTGCCGGGCTTGCCCCTATTTAAGCCACCTAGAGTCCCTTTGGGGAGATGGAGGTAGTGCATAAAAATAAAGTTGCTGTTGTTGTCGTCATCATCATCATCATCATCATCATCCTGTGACTCCTAATGTAATAGCCATCATTCTGGGTATGCAAGAGTAGCGAGAGAGGTAACATCTTGGTCCCCAGGAATATTTTAACTTTCACTGTTTATGCAAAGAAGATGTACAAGAGCATCTGAAACAAAATGTGGTACATTCTTACAAGCAACAAGTGGTTGAGGAGAGAGAACTGCATCCATAAGACTGCACTCAACACTAGTTGTGCTCCTGGGAACAAAATGGAAAACAGGAAGCAGTCTTTGTCTCCCATATGCTGTCTGAACCCAGTTGGAAGCAAATGTCCTTTTTTCTGTTTTGCTAAATGCGCAGTGAGTGCACAGGATTGTAATTTTAAAAAATGAAACAGGATTTATGTAAAGAACAAAGAACAAGAACCTATCTGACTTAGGTGGTTCTTTCTCTGTTTCCTAGACCCTACATGCAGTCACACAAACATTCAGGTGAAATAGCAAGCTATAATTGTACATGTATCTAATCAGTATACAAATTCTAGTATCTCTGTGCTAAGTATATAGTGATCATATCCACATTCATCCTTAGAAAACGTAATTCTTCCCTTTTACAGTGAAAACTGTATTGTAGCAGTGACTTTAATTGTAGGCTTTCTCAAAAACTCAGCAGCAGAGCACATGCCAGTCAGAAGTCGCTTATCAGATCTCATAAATCAGAGAACAACCATATCAAGTTTTGCAATAGCTACTATTATTTTCCAGTATAACTAATAAGTAGATTTCACTATTCAAAGAGTAAATTTGAAATGTCTAAGATTCTGCCTGAAAAATCTTTGTGCATTAAGCAACTTGATGGAATTGAGATCTATTATTATTAACTTTATTTATACCCCGTCTTTCTTTTTTAGGGGACTCATGGCAGCTAACAACAACACACTTTGATCAATTTAAAACAAAGCAAATACAAAAATTAAATTGTGAAGATATTGTTTCAAATTGTTTAAATGTATTTTATAATTCTATTTAAATGTTTATTTTAACCATGCATTGTTTTATAGCATCGAATAGTGTAAGCCACCTTAAGTCCCCTCTGGGGTGGAGAAAGGTGGGGTAGAAATGTCGTAAATAAATAATAAAAACAATTTAACAGTATTTGTGTTTTAGCTTAAAATACAGTTAAAATATAATGTCATTTGAAATGCATTTGAAAGCACACAATTCTCTCCAAAATCCCACATTTAAGAAGGCACAGACAGTACACACATTTTGATCTATGTACCTTCTATGATTTTAATAAAGATACATATATATTTATCCTTGCCACTTCATTATGCCCCTGAAATAACCAAGTAGTAGAATCCATGCAGCACATTACTCTGTTTATTATACAAGCAGGCTAGACAAGGTATGACTGATCCAATAATTACTCTACCATGAAAAAAGGATCAATTTATGTCATTCTTTTATGAAACTATAAGAATCTCGGTGTGACTTTTGTTGTTATCAAAAAAAGTTCTGAGGCAGTCAGGATCACTGAACAGTTAACTTTTGTATAAGGGGAAAATGTCTGAAATAAGCTCTACCTGTATTAAATGAATTGTTACTTGTGCTCTTAATTTATCTTATGTGTCATAAAATTTATACTTGGTGGGCCTCTGGGCTAAAATCCCGTTGAAGTCAATACTTATGCCACTCTCAGTTCAGATATAAACAATAGGTTCTACTTAACCTGGTTTTGTGGCAAATGGGCATATAAAACTGTTTATGCAGAGGCAGACAGTTGGGTCTGTCTAGTTCAGAAAGACTATGACAGTGCAATACAGTCATTCCAGTGGCATTGATCGTGAAAGTGATCATGCAGAGGTTGATGAAAAAGATAAAAGCTTAAGATTCTGGAAAACTGTTATTAATCAGAAGAGGCAAACCTTAGATATATGGAGCCTTGATCTCACTCAACGTAAGGTTGTTTCATGTGTTTATTCATTTTCAAAGTAAGAATTTTTTTACGTTAAATACAGCAATTATTACAGAATCAAAAAGTCTTTTCCATAATATAATGATACTCACAGGTCAAACTACAATGGTTGTGTTAATTATGTCAGTTAGTGAGAGGTTGGGCAAGAAGGAATTATTCAGAGTAAGAAAGGGGAATACATCCTGGGGAGTGACCTTTGTTAACAAATCCACATACTGAAATAGCTTGGGACAGGAAAGGATCTCTGTGGGCTCTCTCTAGTGACTGTCTCTCCCCAGTAAATAAACAGCAGGTTCATATGTTCAAACAAAAGTCATGAGCTGCTATGATGGCCTGGTTAATTGCTGTCATAATGTACTATCTCAGTATATTAAATACTGAGACAAAAGAATAGGCAAAAGTAAATCATATATTCTTTTAAAAAATCTCATCTCACTTATAGAAATAACAATAACATCTCCTAAAACTGGTATAAACAACCAAATTAAAATGTTTTAAACTGAGTTAACAATTTTCACCAACTGCATCTTCACCAAATGCTAAGAATTTAGCAATGACTGAATTCACACATCCCTATCTTATGCACGTTGAGGATGTACTCCTCACTTCTTTTTATATATTTAGAAAACAACACTATTAAGGTAGGCTTGCAAGAAAAAAATTCACAAACAAGATGTGGGAAAATTTTCTGATTATACCCTTCCAGTAATGCTCAAAAGTTACCTTTCTCGTAGAAGGAGTTGAAGGTGGAGAATGTGGAAAAATTTCCAAAATAGCTGTATGATTGGCAGAAGCCAGAAAATCCACCTTAAAAATAAGAAGCACTAAGTAAAGAGAGAAAAAAGCAGCAGCCTATATCAGTTGGCACGTGCAGACTGCTGTAGGCAAACAGATTTGCTGAAACATATACAAACCATTAAGATTCTTGTAAGTATAAGCAACATGCATCCAAGAATGCATCTTCTCTGAAAATGGAATTTTGGATTTAGCACCATATTTCAGCCACACTATCATATTCAGATTTCATATATTACAAAATGCACAAAAGCAAAACAAAAAAATCTTAAAGAACGCATTGAATTAAAACCATGCAACGAGCTACAAGATATACAGTTCAAAAGCCATGCATAATCTTTAGTTGTAGAATAGATTAAGTGTCTCTTATCTATAGTGCTTGGGACCCAAAGTGTTTTGGATTTAGAATCTTGGAATATTTGTACATACACAATGAAATATCTTGGAGATGAGATCCAAGTCAAAATATAAAATCAATTAATGTTTCCCATAAACCTTTATAGACAGAGACTGAAGGTAGCTTAATACACATTTTTAATCATTTGGTGCATGAAACAATGTTTTTGTGCACTGAGCTACCAGAAAGGAAAAGTGTCACTATCTCAGTCTCCTATGCAGACAATTTCAAATTCTGGACTATTTTGCATAAGGGACGTTCAAGCTATATTACCACACCAGAAAGGCAGACTGATCTGCTTACAAATGAAGTTCATCTATGCAGCATTCACACTGTTAAGTATAAGTTCATGGACATTAAATTTTATAGCGTTTCTTTTCATTGCACAAGCATTCATGTGTTCATTCAGTGTTCCTATCTCAACAGAAATTACAAATGTACTGTTACACTTATAGCAATATCATATAAATGCTCATTTGTTTATCGATTCTACCAGAAATAGTCTGAGAAGACAGCATTATGTATGGAATATGAAAGGAACTTTGAATACGTGCAATTAAAGCAAAGAGTATACCATAATATTTGAAGGAGTTAGTGGAAAAACAGAATAAGAAAATGCCAGAATCCCTTATTGTCCTAGGCTTAAATCACAAGGGCAAGTGATTTCTTGAAGAATTTGCCTGGTATAAAGGATGTGGCTCCCCACCATGCTTCTTTATTCTGAGTGTTGTCTAGATAGGCAAAAAGCCCTCTATTTATTCTTCAAGACTAAATTTTCAGGAAATTTACAATAGACATGAGGATTGATATCATTTTATGCTATTTACTGCTGTTAAGTGCCATCATATCAGCTGCAACATATGATGAGCCTATGAATGTCAAACCTTTAGGGCACTCTGTCTTCAACAGCCCTGTTGAAGACTTGCATACCTAAAGCTATGGCTTCCTTGATCAAGCCTATATCATGCTGTTTATTAGTCTATAATGCAGTAGTATACGTATTTGCATTTCTTGGAAGGATCATTCATCCCATACTGATCATTTAATCTCAATACATTAATTCTACATATATATCAGAAGTTCATGGTATCACTGAGATACCATGGTTTTGGCCTGTCTTTCTTATCATTTACTTTATATTACATAGTCTTTGGCAACGTATGCATGTTACATCATAAAAAGGTACATGGCACTGATAGTAAATTGCATTGGTAAATAAGCAATATATTACACCAGATTCAGGGTGAATGAAAGAACTTTTAAATTGTGTTGTCAAACGCTTTCATGGCCAGAATCACTGGGTTGCTGTGAGCTTTTCTGGGTTGTATGGCCATGTTCCAGAAGCATTCTCTCTTGCCTAGTTTCTAACAGTCCTCACAACTTCTGAGAATGCCTGCCATAGATGTGGGTGCAACATCAGGAAAGAATGCTTCTGGAACATGGCCATACAGCCCAGAAAACTCATAGCAACCCAACTCTTTAACTGCCATGACTCAATGCTATGGAATAATGGGAGTCATAATTTTACAAGGTTTTCTGCCATTACACATAACTATGTGTTCTACTTATTTTGTTTCTTTTTCAGTGGGTTCTACTACTGCCCTTCTATTAGGATTACTACTCTTTGGATCTGGTTGGACCATTTATAAACTACTGTACTCAACTGAACAATTCCCCCTTAATAGTTTTCCTTATGTTATATTTATCTTTCAGCCAGCTAGTTATACTTCAGCTCACATATTCTTTCACTGTCCTTTTATCCAGCAACATATCTTACTAAATTTAGACTGCATTGTTTCTTAACCAGTACATACTTTCATATTAAAGCTATTCTATTACTCACTTCAAGTCCTACAATGCCCAAGTAAAAACTACATACTGTTGCATTCCAACAAATTTATTTCATGTCTAAAAACATGTGGTAATATCTTCAGACAGAAGCTAAAAATTACTGGGACTAACAGACTATACATGATAGTTAACAAACCCACTTAAAAATAATGTTGGATGAAAAGTAACATTTATTACACAATCATGGAACCTCTCAGCTTCAGTGGAAATATTGTTATTAGTTCTCATTTTGAAAAGTCATCTCACTCAAAGTCATAGTTTAGAGTTCCAGACTCTGCTGGCATATTCACTTGGGGGGGCGGGGTAATTAAGGGTAGAACATTCACGTGATCATGTTGTTGTTTGTTAGATTTGTATTCCACTAGTTAAATGGTTCTCAACCTGTGGGTTTTGGCCTACAACTCCCAGAAATCCCAGCTAGTTTACCAGGTGTTAGGATTTTTGGGAATTGAAGGCCAAAACATCTGGGAACCCACAGGATGAGAACCACTGCACTAGTTTAAAGCAGAAGCTTACAAAATAGGCTAAAGAAACAGGAAACGCTAGTCCTTGCTCTTGTTATATCCTGAATAGACTACTGCAACGTGTTCTATGTTGCCATTGGAGACTGCTCAGAAGCTCCAAATTGTCCAACAGGCAGCAGCCAAGTTGATTACTAAGGCGGCGTACAGTGAGCACACAACTCCCCTATTGCATCAGCTCCACTGGTTGCCTGTCTGTTACCGAGCACAATTCAAAGTGCTGGCTTTAGCCTATAAAGCCCTAAACGGTTCTGGCCCAGCTTACCTATCTGAACTATCTCCCTCTATGAACCATCACAGAGATTAAGATCTTCTGTGGAGGCCTTGCTCTCGGTCCCACCTCCTTCGCAGGCACGATTGGAGGAGATGAGAGACAAGGCCTTCTCAGTGGTGGCCCCTCGGCTATGGAACTCCCTCCCCAGTAATATTCGATCAGCTTCTTCCCTTTTAGCCTTCAGGAAGAAAGTTAAAACATGGCTACGGGACTAAGCTTTTGGAGATTAAATGCACTGCAATAAATGAACAAAGAATCTGTGCAATGACATTTTGGAATGGCCTTCGACTATGACATTGGATTATGTGATTTTAAGAATTGATGTAATTGTTTTAATGTGTTTTAATTCTCTGTTTTTAATGTAATGTTTTATAAATTGAAATATAATGATTTTCTCAAATCATAGCAAATCATAAGGGCATGTAGAAGACTTAAGCTCTTCTTTGTTTTTTAGATGAAACACAATTTCTTATGATGCCTGTGCTCAAATGGTGACCAATTCTCTGAATAGTTTGCAGGAAATAAGCTAGCTTGTTCCCATCTTATAAAACCATCTGGTATCAACTATTAAGCAGTTTAGTGCAGGCCCTTCACAACTTTTTTGTTTTTTTTTATTTTAATTTTTGATGGTTAATTGAAAAGCAAAAGTATGAGTGATTCACGGATTGATATGGTCCTCAATGTTTTGTACTTCTGAATAAGATAACTATCAGTGTTATTTTCCTGTTCCCATGTTTTGAATTGAGAAGTTAAGGTGAAGATTTAATCGTGAATAATATGTAATGTTTCAAATAATGTGTGTTTAATCTTCCAGACAAACTTTTTCTTCATTCTATGTGGTCCTTCAAATATGAAAGACATAGTGATTTAGGTAAAAAACTTGTTTAGATTTGTGTTCTGTGTGAAGAAAAGAAAATTTGCAAAATATCATAAAATAGTTCATTTACATTTAATGTTATTGGCTCAAAGAATGTTGAACTGAATGGTCGACCCCCATACATTTTTACCTCATCAAATCTGCCCCTCATTTCAAAAAGCTTGGATACCCATGGTGTAGGAAAGCCATAAGGGAGCTTTCATCAATTCTCTTCCTCCAAGTATTGGATTTATCTCTTCTACAAAAAGAACCAATCTTTCAAATCTGAAGAGACATTCTGGATCTGACCCATTAATGGCAGCAAAAACATTAGAGACCATATGTGATAGTAATTTTCTTACTCTTAAAATGTGCTAATCTCAAATTGGGAAAATGTTCAATCCCACTAACTCTCCTGGACATTTAGCAACATTTTATGACATACCCCAAATGTTTTCCCATCTCATGAAATAGGTATCCCTTGAGGAAAACTTGACACACTCTCCACCTATCTCTGGGGGAATGAGTTCTGTAAACTACCGTAGTCAATCTTAGGGCCCTTCCACACAGCCATATAACTCAGAACATCAAGGCAGACAATCCACCATATCTGCTTTGAACTGGGTTATCTGAGTCCACACTGCCATATAATCCAGTTCAAAGCAGATAATGTGGGATTTTATACAGCTGTGTGGAACGGGCCCTAGTCCATTACTTTTGTTCCAGGGTTCCAAAATCAGCTAGGTTATCAATAATTCAGCATTGTTTTATTATAAAAATGAAAGCTTAGATCATCATATGTGATGCTTCTCTATTTGATTCAGCATATTTGGTGATCAGTCACAGAAGTACAAGGTACTAGTTACTTTTTCTTCATGAATATGGAAGTATGAATCTTTAGCAATATTTAAGAGTAATCATGTGCCTTCTATGTACTAATCTTGAACATGAACCATACACATCCCACTCAATGCTACCTTCCTTAAATTGAAAAATGACTCAAAAAATCTATTTTTATGTGGCATCTTGGAGTGGGGAGACGGGTGCCAGGTGCAGCAACTTCTATCTCTGAAATGAGAAAATATCTTCCTGGGATTCTGTTTTCTAAGCATCAGTAAAAAGTATGGGGAATCCCGAAGGTCCTGAAGTGGAAATCTCAAGGGGGCAGCAAAGGAAGCTCAAAATACCGGATTTCAACTACCTAGCAATATCTACTACAGAAGAAGCAAATCTTGAGCCAGAATGGATCTGGACCACTCAGACACACTTGAGATGTGCAACTCGGTATCATCACACTGCTGAAAGAAGGAACTCAGATCCATCCATGCCATATCTTGTAACTTCCCATTTAGGATGAAATAGGTCTTTTGCTGATTTTGCTTAATGTTTCCCATAACAAAATTAAGACTTTAAAAAAGTATTTCCAGCCAGTTAAAACACATGAAGCCCACAAGCACAGTATGAGAGCAACTATATCCTTCCTCTTGCATTTTTCAGTGACTGATACACCAAGAAATAATGCCTCTGATATTGTAGTGGTCTATAAACTTTGTGACTACTAGTCACTCATATTATATTCTATCAACCTTACTGAGAAAATAGAATGAAAGTAGATTGGGCAACATATAGCATTAATAGTACGGTTTCTTCCCATAATCCATTCAGATGATAAAACCCATTTTAAAGTCTCTTACAAAAACTTGGTTGACCTATCCATGGGTTGTACTAAACCACCCTCAAACAAGTTTTATAATACTACTGCTTGCTAATAATATGAGCTACAGGCTGTGAATATATTTTATTGATATAGAAACAGCTGCAGCAGTAGTGATTTCTATGATGGTAATAGTATATGTAACAACTATTAAAAAGGAAGTCCATTGCCGTTTGCAGGAAATGACACACTGCTACCAGAGAATTATCCTAGCCTGAGTAATATCAAAACTCAAACAAAAAGACCTGATATCCAGCTGCACTGATTGCCACAATCCAAGCATGTGTTTCGCAAAACCTGAGAAACTACTTGCTTTAAACTTCTTTTGAAGGCATTATGGCTAATTAAACTGAGTTTAGTTTATAAAGATAGATCCTTAATTACACAATGTATTATCGGGAAAAAACACCATCATCTTATCAACCCATGATCAAAATCCTGAAGATGGTGGTGAAAACCAACAATGCATATAAAGGCAAAATTCTTTATCAGAATAAAAACATTCAGCTAGTGAGAAATAATTTTTAAAAATGAACAGATGTTCTGATTGTGTTAATCATAGAACTAACCAGAAAGTGCAAGTCCTAATTTCATTTTATGGAACCCTTAGAATATAGTATGGGCAGTCTCTGATTTATAGACATAAAACTTATATACAACTCCTTCTTAAATTGGGGGGGGGGGGGGAGAGACAACATGAAGTGAGAGGAAATCTACCCCTCAGAAGGAAAATTCACTCCTGAAAGAGTTATCATGGGGGCAAGGAGTCTCCACTGAAGCTTTATCACTAATCCTTGTTTCTACAACAATCCAACTTTTTAAAAATCCAATTCTCACAGGAACAGAAAATGAGGTGAATACTTATAAACAAGGGCACAGGCAGCACAACAAATATCTCAGGACTGTTAAACTTTCCCTAGGCTATCCAAAACTTATATAGCTGGAGTTACATTTAAAATGTACTTGTCCCAACTTACATATAAATTCAACTTAAGAACAAACCTACATATCTTATCTGTTATTTGGGGACTACCTGGATAAGATTTAATGTTGCCAAACTGACCACAACAAAACTAACTTCAACATCTGGGGAAGTGAATAGGAAGCCTAATATGGTCATATTTAATTTCAAAAGAAAAACTTTACAGACGTTAAGGAATAAAACAAATGAAAGTTGCAAGAATATCATCACATCATGGAGGTTTTAAAATGTCTGTCTCACACAGATTAGGAAACCAACAAAAGTTTAGGCCAGCATTTTAGGCCAGGTATTTTTTTTTTGTTGTTCTGCTATTTACTTGCAAAGTATCATGCACACTAATCATGCTATATAAAATAAATAATGATAATAATATTATTTGCAAAGACCCAAAAAACAAAGCCCTCCTTTTAAAAAGTGGAAGTCTTGGTGAAGTAAAAAATAAGCTCTAGTTACAAATTGACATTAAAGAATTCTTCCCCAACAATGCAAAAAATGACAAATTAGATGGAGGATAGGTTTTTCTACGGTGAACAGCTACCATGGAACCGCCATGCTCAGAGTCCGCATATCTCTAAATAGGTGGAGGATACAGAAACCTAAGAAAAAAAGAGAACCATGGCCTTTATGAACTCTGTATGAATCTATGGAAGCAACCATTTGCCTATTGCTGGATTCAAAATTGTTTAGTTTGAATCAGCAGAATTAATATGCACATCTCAAAGGAACTCTTGAGAAGTAAATGAGTTGCTCTCAAACTCTTTACAAGTGAAATGAATAAACATTTTTGACCCTGTACAACTTGTCATGCTTCTGGAGTTCAAGAAAAACATGCTCAAAGAAAAAAAATATACTTACTTGACTGGGGTTTTTTGCAACTTGTGAATTACTCTGGGCAGTACTTGTGGAGAGGCAGTCAAAAAAGGCTTGGTCAGCTACTGATATTCCATCTTTGGCACTTTCATGTAGAATCTGGAAAACAGAAGCTGCTTAAAAATGTTCTTAAATAAAACATATCATTTTATATTCAAGAATAAAGTTTGAACTGTAGTTAGAACATGCAGGCATCCTTGACTATTCATTTACCTTCCCTATAATATAAACTATTTTACTGAATGGTTTCCACAAACTTATTTGCGCCATAGAAGAATTTTTATTACAAAAAGGGCAATCTACATACACATGGGCTCATCCTGTCATACCACAAACACGGCAACTTTAGTGCACAAGGGAGCTCTGTTTCTCCCTCTTTACTGTAATTTCCATTCATGTATTTAGCAAGTCAAGACATTGCTGGGCCAATACAGAGAAAGAGATGCTTGTAGTTGATTCCCACTTGATTTTCAATTCCCCTTTCTCTCTTCAGTCAAGAAATGTGGAGTTTAAGAAGAGAGGCGAGAAGGTTGGATGGAGATACAGGTGGGTTGTCAATATCTATGAATCTGGATGGGCAGGCAGAGGGCTGTAGGAAAATCTTATGCAATCCTTTCATAAGCATTCACTGTGCATATAAAATAGGATCCTTTATTTAATCAAAAGTAAGCTCTTGTGATTACGGCACTTAATACAGCATATTTTTAAAAAATAATATAGCACAGGTCTCTGGTATTTAAAAATACAGAAATAATGAAGAAATGCTGACTTGTTCATGCTTACATTGCAACGACAGACTGGAATTCTGACATTTTCTGAATGATGTGACAAACAACAGGTTGCTCTTGTAATAATAAGGAGCAGCTAAATTGTGTGTGTGTGCGTGTGCTGTGTTTAATCAATCACGTGTTGCCGGACTGTAATTCTCATGAATTCCAGCCAGCACAGTCAATGGTGAGAGATGCACTCCAGCATCTGCCATGCCTTTCTTTGCCTAACTCTCGAGTTGAACAGCATGTTTTAACCATTATGACAGAAAGACAAGGAACTCTGGCTTCTCTTTCCCCATACAAGCCATTTACTGGTTCACAAGTCACAAACAAGCTACAGATCTACATTTCGTCAGGAGGAGGTAGTCAAACAAGAATAACCAAATAAATGTACAGGAACATGCTCAATCAGTCATAAGTTCACTCTATAATATTAAGGGTTATTGGCCACGTGAACATGACCAACTAACTTACATGAAATTTCTAATTTTAACACTATTTTTTACTTAATGTGTAGCTGTTACATTTTTAGTGCTCTGGCGAATGCATTGTGTTATCTTACTTCAACATAATCTGTTGGAACCAATCCCCGTTCTCCTTGGCTGTTTTTGCCTTCTAGCCAGCCTCCACCTACATCCTAGAACAACAACAATAACTAGTGGTTAGAATGATAAAACAAAGAGATTGCATCCTTTCATTTCTAGAAATAAGATTTTCTATATTTATCATGTTAAGCTGCAATATCTCATTTTATTCCTTCCGCCCTAAAAATCACAGTTTTCTCAATTTATCTTTCCTGCTATCATAGCAGCATTTTTAGTTGACCGAAAATTTACTTAATTCAGTCTAAACAGTCGGTTTCAAGCTATTGAGAATCTGAAGCCACATCTTCCCAGTCTGAGTCTAATACTCCCTTCAACTATACTGGCTATGTGGAAATCTGTGCCAGTTAAAACTGCAATCCTGTCACTTATTTATTTGGGAGTAAAATGTGTTAAATGCAATGGGATTTATTTCTGGAAAAATGCATAAAACTAGTGTCACATATCTTATTATTGACTACTATGAGTTGCAAGTGTATATACAGAGTACATCTATATGCAACTCAAACATATTTCAACAATACAAAATATTAAAACTCATTGACAATAATTTTTACTGGCATGTTTAATGCCTGTTTGTAAAGCAAACAATAAATAATTTTCACCATTATTGATTTTCTTTTAAATAAATTATCTTTCTATCTATCTGTCTATTATTCTAGTTTAGCTTATTTGCCATAAGCCTCAAAAGAAAAAAAGAAAAATAGCATAACTATAGTTTTCCACATTGAGAAACAGAATTACTCAACATTTTTTTCAACAAAATTCCATGAAGCAAGTTAGTGGTTACCCCAATTTCCACTTACTGGATTGGTAATTGTGATTATTTCTCCTTCATTAACTGTCAACTCATTATTTCCAGGTTCCGCAGCAAAATCATACATAACCCGAGCCTGTAGGTATGCAAAAATGAAATATCAGTGACACATCCCAAATCAATTTCATGGAACAACACAGAGTTGAGTAGGTGGTGAGACCTTCATTTAGTGGCCCAAAACGTCTTTCAAGGTTATTATTTTAGACAGAAAGTTATGAATGCAAATCTTTTAATGAATTATAGGAGGAATTTAGCTCATGAATAATAAGTAACGGGCAATTTCTGCAATTTAAACACCTCCTTACACCCATTTTTAAAAACTGGAGTACAGCAGCATCTACTCTCACAGAGCTACTCAATGTGGCCAGTCCAAACTTTACTTTCTGTATTCCCTTTTTATAAATTAGGCATAGAATAAATCAAGACTGAACCAACTCTAGTTAAGGATCTCTGGGGTTTTTAGAAAACGGTTCTACAGACACATCTTTGCCTGCCCATGATGAATTGCAAGCAACCTGTCTATATTTTGTATAACAATGTTATTGGTGTATAATAGCACTACAGATGGATAGAAGTGAATCCACAAGATGATTCTCTGCTCCCAAGAGCTAATACTGCAATAACAAATTGACAACAAAGAATTGGATGTACTGTGGGTCCAAAACCCAAGATACCTGCTTTTTGGTCATATATATCATTCCAGATTGGGCAAGGGAACCTCAATACAAAATCACAAGAGTATATCAGCATCATAAAATATCTATGCAACCTGCTTCAATCGCATTACCCACTGCTCATAATAAAATACTAAAGCCTGCTAACAAAGAGCCAGGTGAGAAGAAACTGTACACTGACATTAAGTGTCAGAGCCAACTAAAGCAAGTGGCACTTAAAATAAGCAATGGTTTTTGAGGGAAGACATAAAAAGTATAAGCTCAGGCAAAAAACAATAACCTTGCTTTAGTCACTCAATAAGGAAAGCCAGAACAGTCATTAGAGGGAGAAAGTATTATATATTCCTGATTATAAGAAGTATTCTCCCCTGCCCCTCTTAAAGAGCACAAAGTTTTGATTGTATGCGTTGCTGTGAGTTTTCCAGGCTGTATGGCCATTCCAGAAGCATTCTCTCCTGACGCTAACATCTATGGCAGGTGTCCTCAGAGGTTGTGAGGAAAACTCAAAGAAACCAAGTGATTCCTGCCATGAAAGCCTTTGACAACACTTTGATTGTATGTTTCTGCATGGCAGAGGATTGGACTGAATGACACTTGCAGTCTCTTCCAACTCCTTGATTCTATGAGAAGCCGAAAGACTGTTGTACACTTGGTTCTCTACATTTGCAGGTTTAACAGAGATAGGTATTCAGCCCTATCGTGAGAAGACGTGACTCATTACAAAATGCAACAATGCTTAGTGAGGTAGAAGGCATTAGGAAAAGAAGAAGGCCACATTCCAGACTGTATTCTCAATCAAGGAAATCACGGTCTGCAACACCTGGGCAGGGCTGTTGATGACAGAGTGACATGGAGATCTCTCATTTATGGGGTAGCCATCAGTTAAAGTCAATTAACTGTACCTCACAGGTTTTCTCTGAATGTTATTTTGTTCAAAATATTTGTATTGCAAACAACAAGAATGAAGAAACTGCACAGCTCTGTTTAGTGTGCCACAGACAGGGAACGAGAAACAGTAAGGTATTTTCTTCTCTCTATGGGGCTAATTAATTTTTACAAAGAACAGGAACTAGAAACCAGACTTTATATTTTATTTATGCTACCTTCACCTTTTTTCCAAATATGAATCTCAACAATATATACATTTAAAAGAATACTACAGTTATGCCAGTACTCTTTTCCCTCTACCTTTTGTGCTGTTGAATTAAAACAAGAAGTTCATATCTGATTCAGAAAAACGTAAGTTCAAAAGAAAATGTAGCTTCAGATTGGCCTCTTAGGACAGATGTTATTTATCTTTCCAATGTAATATTGAAAAGAGAAGTAAAGCCAATTGCATGGCGCCATGCCAGTTGTTGTTTTTAAAGATATTGCATGTGTTTTAGTTTCTGTTTGGAATATAACATTTCTCCTGGTTAGATTTCTGGTATTTGCATAGGCCATTTTGCATAGGCCATTATTCCTGATGTATTTAAATGGAAGTTGCACTGTTTATTAATTAATTTAATTGGTTTCTTAAGTATTTATTTTGAAGCTTATATATTTATAGTTGCATTTTTATCTGATAATTTTTCATGCTGTGTTTCTTTTGTTGCTATTGCACATGTTTCAGGCTCGCATTGGCTGCTTTGTTTAGAGTAGAAATGAACGGAAAAAAAATGATATACTGTATTACTTTAAATTTGCTCAGGGCTAACAAAAACTCATCCATGATATAAATAGATCATTATTATACATGTCTTTAGACTAAAAATCTATAGCAGTGCAACAAAATGTCCTAAAAGAGATCAGTTTGGTCTCTCTGTTTATCTATCACTACATTGCAAAATTCTGTGAGAGGTAAGCAGTGATACAAATTTCACTCTTCTAGGAGGACTTTCTACAATTGTAGCCTCTGATTGAAAATATTCTCTCATAAACACACCTGCCGTATTTCATTTGGTTAGTGAGTGTAGAGCTAGTACTGATCTTGATCTTTAAATATATCCTGGTTCCAGACATTTTAGAGTCTTCTGTGTTGAAAAAAACACTTCGAAAGGACTCAGAAACAAATTTCAACTAAAATTGTGTACCAAAGTTCTTGAATACATCTTAAAGGCAGTCCCGTGCTGGCTATTATAGTATCCAATCAGACTAATGTATAATCATCTGTTCTATTGATTGATTGAGAACAACATGGGATTTGAGCGATGGATGACGATTCTAAAGGTCAGGGTTCTAATCTGTGCTCAACGATTGGGCAAGTCACACTCTCTTAGCTTCAAAAAAGGCAAAATCAAAATTGTTGGAACTCAACCACATCCCTGCACAAGTTTATAGTCCCCATCAAGGAAATAATAGGCAAATGCATTAGCAGGCAGGGAAAGCCCTTCCCCCATTGCCCTCTTTGTTTGCCTGTCTGTATTCTCTTCTTCTATTCTGTTTGTTAGATTGACATTACTCAGAGACACACCTCTTTTTATTCCAGACCACATGGCAAGCTTCTTAGTCCTCCATTTTGTTCTTCTCCTGTGAGCATGGAGAGAGACAAGATGTCTCCAAAGAGCTACATAGCAAGGTCCTAACTTTCCTATATAGAAATTCAGTTCTTTCAATAAAGTCTTTAGTAACTTTTGAAGCTTGATTCTGCTCCTGAATTGCTAAGGCTCATTAGCTCTTCTGCAAGCTCAAGAAGCTTCTGATCTGTTAAACTGCTGCTGTTGGTGATTTATATTAAAAATGCCTTTTCCTTTTCAAAATTATACAACAGAAAATCCCTGAAAAAAAAATCTTCCCAAGACATACAAGAAAACATACAACCTAATATTAAATTCAGGTGAAGGTTGAAGTTGGCAAACATGCCTAAATGTATACAAGCAGTCCCCAAGTCACAAACAAGGTAAGTTCTGTAGGTTTGTTCTTAAGTTGAATTTGTTTATAAGTCGGAACAGGTACAATTTTTCAGTGTAACACCATATATATATATACACACACACACACACACACACACAAATACATACATACAGAGAGAGACACAGACAGACAGACAGACAGAGAGCACACTTTGGACATAGGGAAGGGTTAACAGTACACCCCTGTGGTGTTTGTCTTGCTGTCTTTGCAACTGTTCAGAAGATTTCACTTCACTTTTTCTCCCTGTGATAATTAGATTTTGGAAAAAAATGGCTTGCTGTGGAAACAAGAATTTGTGAGAAAGCTTCAGGGGCAAAACCTTTTCCCCATGGTAACTCTTTCAAGAGTGAATTTCTCTTCCTAGGGGTAGATTTATCTCACTTCCTATTGTTTCACTCATTTATAGCTATGAGTTGTTTGTAAGTCAGAGGTTTGTAACTTGGGGACTGCCTGTATATTCAGAAAAACTAGTCAGTTTCAAATAAACATTGTGCTCATACACTGGAAATGACACATCAGTTATTTTCCATCCAGTGAGGAAACTGTTTTTAATTTTATGTCTGATCAGTGATTGAAGATAAGATTAAATATGCAGTACAGAACAAACATGTGCCTTTCAGAAAGACAATTTTTTACACTGGGGATTCATCCTGAGGGAACATGGATGAAACTGAGCTAGACTTTATATGCTTGAGAGGAACATGTCCAAAATAACAACTGTAACTGGCACTCTGATCCTATCTAATCTGTCCTTTGCCCTGTCCCTACTTTCAGCATACAGTCATGGTTATAGTTCATCCCCCAAGACACTCCCCAGTTAAAATTTAGCTCCAGGTAAAAAAAGAAGCCCCCCACCTCTGAACTACAGGGGGAAAAATTAGGAAACAGCCAGCATCTGCAAGTTAATCCCTGCCCCACCAATTATTTTCTTTTCCTTATGTGTCATTATTTATTTAGATTGTAAATCAGAGGGCATGAAACTATCAAATTTCTGATTTCTAAGACATAAGTTTTGGATGAAGGGTGGGGTATAAAACAATTACCACAAACAAAAAAGAATGCAGTATCATTTGCTACTGAGAAGTATAGATCCAAGAGGGTTATGTGCTCCTTCACACTACTTATCCACCAAAGTGGCTTAACTGAAATAGATCCAAGTAATCAGCTAGAGACTCTGGGAAACCTCAAACTGAGAGACAACAATGTTTTTTCAATAACTTGCAAAAGAGATATTATTGGTCAACATGCAGGAATTTAGTCATACTTTCTTTAGCCGTCAAGTGGCATACCAACAGCTTTTAAAATATCTTTTGAATATCTATCTGTAAGATCAGGAAGCTTTGGACTGTTGAAATTATCCATTTGCTTGTCCATGCCTTGATTGTGTCATGTCTGAGTTGCTTTAATAGTGTACTGGCAGGTTTGTCTTCTACCTTTCTTATTCCAGAACATGGCAGTCATCTTGTTTTACTGGATTAAGCTACTGAGTTGTGTCTGAGGTTGCTAAAAT